CCAGTTCTCCTCTTGGAAAAGTTAATGCCTTGCTGTGTTATAACAAGCAGCACAGAGGGACCCTCTGTACACTTAAATGTTGCTACCATAACTGTAAGTGTTTGCAGTGTGAAAAAAAAAATAATAATAATAATAATTCCTGTCAAACCCTGTACAGGTGACCTCTTCCATATAGAGCACAACAGGGAGAGGAGATCACCACTTTTGGCTGCTTCCTGCCCCAGACCATGGTTTCCACTGCTCCTCCAGCAGAGAAGTTTGTGTGAGCCTTCCCCAGACCAATTTAGGGCAAATCAGCTGGATTAGCCCTGACCAAGGAATTAAATTGCTCCTTCAATCTTTGCTGGGCTTGATGTAGAGATGTCCCTGGCTGGGTGCCTGCTTTTCCGCAGGGTTCCCGGAAAGGCTCCGTGCCTGGGTGATATCATCTGATGGGCTTCCAGAAGGCAATGATGTGCTGGGGGAGGAGTGTCCCTTTTGGGGTCTGGAAGCTTCCTTCTCTGGATGAGATGGTGAACACTGCTCTTTGGTACAGTATGCTGTCACCGAGGGAGCAACTGGGTGAAGGAGAAGCAGACTTCAGAGGTGCCTGTGGGTAACAAATGACATTTACCTGAGTGGGTGAGAATTAAGCCATACCCAGGGACTAGAAACCATTTAGCCAGAAATCCAGTGAAGTGCCCTAACTTGGGCTTGCTCTCTATGTCCTGAGCTCACTTTGCCAGCTGTCATTCACCCATGGGCACTTTTTATGCACTTTTCATTCACAAAACCCAGGTGTAAAGGAAAGTGAGCACAAGGCAGTGGAAGTAAGTCCCTTATGATGTGTGGCAACAGTCTATGAATTTTGTTCTTGTTTGTTCTTATGTACCCAGTAGTCTGATATTTTCTTTTTTGGCTATTTTAGCTCTTTCCATGCCATTCAAAATGGTTTGCCCAGTCTGTTCTCCATTTCACTTTTGTCATCCCAAGGATGGAAATATGAATGATCTAAGATAGGAGATGGAAATTCTCATCAGCTCTGGCAAAACTGGGGAGGAATCAGTACAAGGATGCCCACCTGAACTGAAGGGAACTCCCCAGGAGATGGACACAGTGCTCTAGGCATCCATCCACATGTTTAGATGCCTCTATGTTTCCACATGCTTGTCTCCAGATCATATTCACAATTAAACCTTCAAACTGCAAGTGATTCCTGAAGCCAGCCTATTGTGATTTATGGCTCCTTTCTCTCTCTCTCTCTCTCTTTTTTTAGGGAAATAAAGGAACCTTTTGAAAAGGTCTGTAGCCTAGGTGTAAGGATCCTGAGTCTTCCAGAGTGAAATACTGACCATTTTTCAGTAAGAAAGAAATTGCAAGCAAACTTCTTATTGTCCCCACATTGCAAACTGTACGCAAATGGCCTAACTTCTCAGCTGCCTGTCAAGACAAATTCTGTCAGGTTCCATTTATCTCGTTCTGTGTTCTGGTGCAGTTAGTGGCAAAATTGCTTTGCTTGCCAGCCCTCATGTGAAAATTCCCCCCAGCTGAGGCAGGCTATCTCACTGATACATGCCTTGATCGGATTCTAGGGCATTTTTAGCAAAAACAACCTTGTAAATAATAAGAAATGCTGGAACCAGAAAGGGACAGTATGTTTCAAGTCAGAGACTGAGAAATGAAATGACTCTCACTGCTCTGATATTTTAAAAATCAAACACATTGAACTTCTGGTCTTGATTATAAGCTCTCTATTTTTTTGTGAAGACATGGTTGAAGAATCTGACTGCACTCAATGTGGTTATGAAGGAGGCTGTTCAAACATGACTGAGTGCACACTGAAGCAAATGAGACCATTAAATGTCAGCACTGCTAATAAGGCCTTTATGGATTGTTTTCTCAGAAATATTTAGCTAATGTTCTTTTCCACTAGCTGATCCCTTTGGGCATGATCAGTCATTCTAGGACTGGGAATCAAAAGTTCAGAGTGCTCAGAAAGTTTCAGGTCACTCTATCCCCCTTAAGGGAAATAAAGACAACGTGAAACTACGTGAGGATTGCTGGATTGTGAAACTAACCCATGGAGCGTGGCAATGGCCACCTGTGGGCTTGATTCTTGTTTTGCAAGGCACTCGTGGAGTTCTGGAAGTCCAGCACAGTCTGTCACACAAAACAAAACTGGCACATCCCTAAGCCTGTGCTCAACTGGAGGTTAATGGCCAACATAAAATGGCTAGACAAAAACAAACAAACAAACAAACAGGGAAGACTTTTGTTTTAGATAACATAAAAATCATTCCATGCAAAAAACCTGCAGTGCTTGGCATCCTAGACTCCATGACATGGTTCCTGAAGCTATATAGGGCAGTTATAGAGTAGTCTGAACATGAAGACACAGCTGGCTTGGGGGGAAATGTGGACCAGAAAAAGACAAGCACAGTTGCTTGTCTATCCAAGCTAACTGTCAAGAGTATCTCTCTTTCCTTCTCATCCTGACTTATTACCTCCTTCTCGGCCTCATTTCATCTACCACAGATCTCCTGTGGATGGAGAGCAGGAGAAGGCCTGGACATCCCCCAGTGGGGATGCAAGGTGCAGTGATGTGAAGCAGTATGGGCCTTTGCTATTCGAGAGGCACAATATGTACACACTATGATGTTCTGCACTGCTAAGCCATTGCCAATGCCATTGCCATCACCAATGCTGCAGATAGAAAGCGACCAGGAGTATTAATACTTCTCATCTACATCTTTTTTTCACAAGGAAGTTAAATACATTTTCCCCTCCTTCTCAGATGTTTGTGCATATGTGCTGGAAGTGAACTCAGAGCTTGCAGGAATACAGCCAGGATAGCTTGTGACTAACAATTACTGGCTTTTGACCCAGCTTTTATTTATAAAAGATTGATGGGAAATCTTTTGTGATTGTTTCATGACAATGCCAATTAGTAAATTTTAAAATTAAGATGTGCATAGCTGGACAAGGGAGGACAATTAGGTCATATACCAGGAAGTCTCAAAACTGGGAATTTGCTGCATACCCCTTAATTCTTAAGCTTAAAAAAATGTTAATGAGTACAGTCTGAGTGTGTTGAAAATGCAGCGAGACTTGATGCTAACGACCCTGTTACCCAGTATGTAGCTTTGATAGGAATGCAATGAATGGAGCAACTTTCCAATGTAGATCTGTCATGTCAACAGATTTGTAGCATATTAGGTCCAGAATAGCTTTGAAAATATTTTTCTGATATTGAAAAAAATTAGATGATCTTTTAGGTTCATGCACAAGGGCTGTGATCATGCTGCTCATGCCACCTTCATTTAATAAAACTGTTCCAGAAATTGCTGTATGTTAAAAGTGATGAGCATGTCTATAGCCTTCCAGTGAAAGCTTCGGCGTGCACTCTTACTCTGCCTACTGGATTTGGTACCTATTGAAATGCTACTTTCTAAACCTGGAGGAACATTGTTCTAATCCTGTGTTAGAATCATATCATTATTATCTTTGGTGCTGACTCTAGTGAAGATGATTGTTATTGCTGTTAACAAGAATACCATCTGCTTATTCTGGCTTTGTGATTTGGATAAAAGAATGAACTCCTCAAAAAGTTGTTTTTCTTTGAACAAAAAGTATTTGGCACATATAAATGACATTGTTTCCTATTCCAGCTTACAGACAAAAGTGTCTATTTTTTGAAAAGAACAACCAGAAACAAGAAGCAAAGTCTAATATTTGACTCATTTTCTGCCTATCAGTTAACTCTATGTGATCAAGTGCTTTGTTGCAATATAGGTGACTCCTGAAAAAGTGATCTGGGAGGGGTTTTCCAAAACCCTTCCCAAAGTACATTATTTCCATGGCCTTAGCAGACACATGTCCCAGACTAATTAATTTCTTGTAGGCACATGAGAAGAACAGGTGGAAAGGTCTGGGAGCTGGAGACAGCTTCTTGCATCAGGAAGCTCCTGGCCAGCCAGGGACAAGCAGCTGTGTGCAAGCTCTCATTCTGGTTTGTAGAATACCCTGGAATTAGGCAAACCCAGCAGTTGTTGATATTATTTTTGCCTGGCTTATGTACAACACGATGTGAGAACATCGAGCCTGTTGATTCAGACTTTCATCTGGCAAAGGGCGATTTTTGTTCCAGCCCTTGATCCTTAGGTTCTGTCTGCTTCTTATCCATCAGCTCTGTGTAAAATCCACAGGCAGCCTAAGGCATCATCTCCCTCCAAGCTGCTCCCTCCTGTCTAACTGCTTTAAATTACTCTTCTCTGCAAAGAGCTTTGTTGTCCCCAATTTAAGTCCCATGAAAATCCATGAGCTTTATTTGGATACCCTCAGTAGAACATCAGAGCAAACGTTGCTGTGAAGTTTGCGCTTATAGCTAACTACTTCCTTGGAGTTATCATTTGCTCTTCTCCTGTAATGTTACACATTCATATGTTAATCCACTCTTGGAAGCTGTTGTGCCTGCCTGCATTGTGAGCCTTTATCAAATGATGGCAAAATTAATAGTTTGGTTTCTGCCAATTTGATACAAGATGCTTAATATGAAAAGCAGAATATAAACCACTGAAGATAATTTTGGAGCATCACTTACTTCTCTTCAACAATAATTTTTTCATGCTGTTTTTTCTGCATCAATATCAAGATGCAGCCTCACATTTCCTATTCTTGGTAAAGAGTGTGTATGTGCATGTGAGTGTGAATATGCTGTTTTTTTGCTGTGATGAATAGATTTGGCCATGCCATATATTACGTCATGGCCAAGGAAATATCATGAACTGCAAGCACATCTATCTGTTTGTGTTTTTGTTTTGTTTTGTTTAAATCAATCAGTCAGTGCCAATCATATAACTGAGAAGGGGCTGTGAAGAATTACTTTATTGAATCATTTTGTAATTTCTTAAACAATGAGTTTGAGAATGAATCTGATCTTCACTGTAAAATAAAGATAGGTGGCATTTCACAAAGATATTTTTCTGAGTCCCCCACTCTCTATCTTCTTTTTCATCCCACAGAAACCTGTGGACTCTGATTTGCTTCTGTGCTGTAAATTAGCTTTGAAGGAATGGACAACCCAAACAAAACCCCCCACAGACGCGTTCTGAGAATCCAGCCAGTGAGCTAGAAGAAACAGCTTGATTCACAAAACCTCACCTGACCCATGACTGAGTCTCAGCTAGTGCAACACTAACTTCAGACACCTTTGTGTATCAGGTACTGCCACTCCTCAGCACGTTCCTGTATGTACAGAGCTTTTTCTTTATTCCCTCAGTGTATATTGTGCAACAGAGAAATCCAATTTACTCTGAGTCGTTTATGAAAACATCCAACCACAAAATGGAATACTTCAAAGAATTTTATTTTAAGATATTGTGACTCAGTTTGTTTCATGTGACAGCCCAAGCCAGGCTTAAAGAGAAAACCTGGCTGGCAGCCCCTTTGCAGCTGCTCTGCACAGGGCAGCTGTCTGGTTCCGCCTGACCGACTGCACCAGGGTGTACAACCAAGCACTGAAGCTGTAATCTCTTACTGGTGTCCCTTCTGCAGACTTAGCGAGTTTCTGCTATGGGTAATCAGGCTGGAGATCCATTTATAATCTCATGGGCTTCAAAATGAAGTGAAGGTGCAAGCTTTGTCCTCACTCGAAAAGGCTGCTCCCACTGGCATATCCTCCTGGCATAGGTACAGCTCCCTCTGGCAGGACTTATATTCTCTGTAATATATAAACACACAAAATACAGGTCAAAATACACAAAGACAAAATAAAACATGCCAGCAAAGGGCTTGGCATTGAAAAACCTAGATTCTTTTTTTGTAAATGTCAAAATTTGGTCCAAAAAGCTGGTGTTTGCAAGTTACACTATGTCAGCCTACAGGCTACTTGGAAGACATAGAGTAGCATATACTGTGAGCAGAAAAATGTTCAGCATGGCAGGCTTTCCCTCTTGCCTTGCACATGGATCCTGCTGACATGGAAATGCCCGTTTGGTCCCTGTGCATGTACATGTGCATAACGCATCACTGTGTGATGCTTGTTAGCACACTCAGAGCCATCTGACTGCGATCAGAGAGCCATGGTGTGCACAAACTCTTACACATATGCATTTTTTCCAGATCCAAGGATGTTTGTGTTGCTTTACGTTACAAGCTTTGCCATCTACACAAGCGAACAACCTCTTCAAAGCCAGTTCAAAGGAGAGAATTACTACACCAAATACATTTGTAGCATCCCCGGGTTGCCAGGCCCCGTGGGTCCCCCTGGAGCTAACGGATCCCCAGGGCCACACGGACGCATTGGTCTTCCTGGAAGAGACGGTAGAGATGGCAGGAAGGGAGAAAAAGGTGAAAAAGGGAGCGCAGGTATTGAATATTTGTGTACACTATCACCATAGCACAATAAAATAAGCCCTTTCCCCATCACTGTTATATGAGAACGTGATGAATGGGTGCACGTGCCTGTGTGGGCTTAAGTGTGATGCATGTATATGTGGTGAGAGAAAGAAAAGATATATTTTAGATATGCCAAATATGCATATAGTGAGATACATGCAAATAAATGTAAAGGCATAACTTTCCTATGCATGGATACTAAAACAAAATTGAGAAAAATGAAGGATGTGTATAGAAAAAAAAGGGGCTCCTGGGCTGTGGGGTCCACTGCTCTGCTCCAGCCTGCCATTCCTTTCACAAACTTATTAGAAGATTTTGAAAGTATTTTTGGAGTATTTTGAAATTCTGACCCTGCTTTTTTGGCTTGTCCAGACAAACCCAGTAGCCCACACAATCACTTACTGAGATGATATGTGCAATGATTAACTAACTTGAAATGTTTTTGAAGGTTTAAGAGGAAAAACTGGGCCGTTAGGACCAGCTGGAGAGAAAGGAGACCAAGGCCAGTCTGGTAAAAAAGGACCTGGAGGACTGGCTGGTGCCAAAGGTGAAGTAGGTCCAGCTGGACCACCTGGACCTAAGGGAGATAAAGGAGACCGAGGAGAGCCAGGTGCACCGGGGGTCTGTAAGTGTGGACAGATCGTGCTGAAATCTGCCTTTTCTGTTGGCATCACCACCAGCTACCCCGAGGAAAGATTACCGATTGTGTTCAATAAAGTCCTCTTCAATGAGGGTGAGCATTACAACCCTTCCACGGGGAAGTTTATTTGTGCCATCCCAGGGATTTATTATTTTTCTTATGATATCACCTTGGCAAACAAGCACCTTGCGATTGGGCTGGTTCACAATGGGAAGTACCGGATAAAGACATTCGATGCCAACACAGGAAACCACGACGTAGCTTCTGGATCTACGGTCATCTACCTTCAGCCAGAAGATGAAGTATGGCTCGAGATCTTCTATGCTGACCAAAATGGTCTCTTTTCAGACCCAACATGGGCAGACAGCTTGTTTTCTGGATTTCTCTTATATGTCGATACAGATTATCTCGATGCTTTATCAGACGAAGATGACCTCTGAAGCAGATGACATCGAATCACACCCATACTGGACACTCCAGCACAGGATTTTATCTAGCCATGTGTGGGACACAAAACTGAGAAGGACCAATCTGGGAGTTGAATTTTGCTTTGACAGGAACCAAATCTGAGTTCAGATGGATGTTTCTAGAATCTAAGCTGGATTCTTTACCAAACAGCAGGGATATCTAAAGGAACAATAATTAATAAAAGACTGCATTGCTCCAGGACTGACTGCTCTCGAAAGTTATGTTGATAATACTATTTAAACAAATTTAAGATACTGTACATTGGATTTTATATAAAATATATAAAGTTGGAATGTAGAATGGATATTTTGTATATGATATTAAAATAAAATTGAACAATTGACAGCAATATCATCTTTGGTCATTTTAAGACAGAAAATGCATTAAAAACAGGAAAAAAATATATATATACATATATTTTTTTTTTAAAAAAAAGGAATAAAATAGGAATGTCTGCTTCAGAATTCAACTGAACAGGTCACAAGCACATTCTCGTCTGATATTTACACCAACAAAAGACATTCATAGAATCACAGAATCATTATGGTTGGAAAAGCCCTCCAAGATCATCTGGTCCAACTATCCCCCTACCACCAATGTCACCCACTAAACCGTGTCCCTAAGCACCACATCCAACCTTTCCTTGACAGTGACTCCATCACCTCCCTGGGCAACCTGTCCCAATGCCTGACTGCTCCTTCTGAGAAGAAACGTCTCCTGATTTCCAACCCAAAGCTCCCCTGGCACAACTTGAGGCCATTCCCTCTAGTCCTAAGCAATTAACCTCCTAAAAAGTGCCTGCAGATTTGTACTAGCTGAGGACTGCCTGATCACAGTCTTAAAAGAACAGAACAAAGTTGCTAAGCATATAAAATAATTGAAAACCGAGAGAACTGAAAATTTGCAGATAAAGAATCAGTATGCTGTTGGGTATTTTCAATGTAATTCCAAGTGGTTTTGTTATTATTTCAATGCCATTTGATGCCTTTGTGAAAAAATGTGGAAGAAAATAAAAACTTTTTGCTAGAAAAATCATGGATGCCAAAAGCCTGATAGAACAGTAACCAGTAATGAGACTAAATTATATGGAACAAACTGAGTCACATCACTAAAGTAGGCTTACTTGTATTCTAATATGGCCAAATGCAATAAAATAAATGTAGGTCAAATCCGAGATGGAAGATTGCATTCAGGAAATCAGAGAACTTGGAAAAGATACATGGGACATCATGGATAATCAGTTAATGTGAGTCATAAGAGTAGGCTGTTGCTACAGTGCTTTGGATGTATGACCACTGGAAATACAAGTAGGTATAAGGAGCAGCTTATGAAACTTATTACTTATGAAACTTACTACTTATGTCAAGGTTTCACAAACGTACTGGAAAATTCTTTAAAAAAAAAAAAAACGGTTGCAGTTCTACCCGTGGAGATGCAGTTCTTCCACAGGAGATCTAACAATGTCAGTTTGGTTTTCCTGTCAATGGGAAGGTTAAGAGGTGAGCTGATCACAGTCTGCAAATTTCTGGTAGTAGCTGGTACTTTGTTCCATCAGATAAGGGCATGGCAAGACCCGCTACTTAGAAACTGTAAAATTCCCACTGGAAATGAGGAACACCTTTAACCAATGGTAGTAATCAAGGACTGTAAAAATTAACTAGGGGTACCTCCTTCAATATTCAACACCTTCAAGTCAAGACTGGCCACCTTTTATTTCACGTTTAGAGATGCACTTATTTTGAAAGAAATTACAGTCTGGTTTTATTAGACCCAGATACACAGAAATCTGTTATTTCTAGCAGTTATGCAAAGAATTTCAAATGCTAGTGGTCTGTGTTACACAACCCCTACTCCCACTTCTTTGATGAACAAAGTGAGGGAAATTTCATTCCTGCTTTGGTTTGGTTTGCTTTTTTGTTTTCTTGATTTAATTAAGAAAGTTACAATCAAACAAAATTTCACAAAAATACTGCTGAGATTGCAAAATGAAGAAATGTTAGCAGTACAGTTATATATGGAATACTAATTTACACCCCCTGCATCTGATCCCTCATTTCCCCATGCATTAACGTGTGTCTTTGAGGACGTGATTGCTGCTTTATGCAGTGAACAGGTGTACAGTTCTGCCCACAAATCAAAGTGGCAACGCCTGTATAACCCTCACTTTATTTCATGGTGTGGTGGAAGACTAAAGGGGATTATTTTTCTAACTAGACATCAAATTTATTAGTTTTATACAAGGGCTGCTTCCCATGAAAAATAGGGAAGAAAACACTTAGAGATTCAGTTCATCATTGTGCTGTACGACCATTTATACATCTGCAAATCAAGCACGAAATGAGTGCAAAATTCTGCCCAATCACCATTTTATACCAATGATTTATTCCAGTTCCTCACAGCCCAGCAGTGACAGCACAAGGCACAAATGAAGGCACTCAGCAGCGCTCACTGCTACCCGCAGGGAATTTCCACAGGAGAGAACAGAGGATCACAGCAGGCCTGTAACATCCAGGACACACAATAGATGTGGGATCGGGCCTATAACATGCATTATGCAACAAACACAACTAATAAAAGTATTTCATTACATATTTAATTTAAGAAAATAACATAGAAATAGGTTTACAACATTGGACTTCATATTGGAGTTTATATTAGGACTAACAAATCAGTTTTTATTACGGCAACACTCATAAATATTTCACATCTTCAAGTTAGAAAATTTCCTATAAACTATACTTAAGAAAACAGCATGACTGATTTTCTTCAGGCTCTAGAGAAACATATTTGTGGCTTATCATAAATCTGGAAATTTTCAGACAAAACTAATTTTTCACCATTGAATAGAGAAAAATGGGGCATTGTAATGAAAAGTTACTGGCTACCATCCTAACTTAAATCAAGCTGCTTCCCTGCAATAATTTAGTAAAAATGAATGAAATATAAAAGAGATATTTTAACCACACCTATGTTGAAAATGACATCATGGGAATAAGTAAACCAAGAGTTATTGCCTCCCTCTACTTAATAATTTTAGATTTATTTTTGTACAGTCATAGAAAAGTCATTTTAGCTTGCCTAAGTTTTCCCATTTGGATTATGTAGCTATTTGAACAGTTTAATATTTTGGCAGAAACTGTTAAAAACAAATAATTCTGATGAATTATTCCTATAGGTTTTGGCAAGAAGAATCTTTTTACTACATGTATGGACAATGTATGTATACAAGTAGCGTATGTCCCTGCCCTCATTCAGGATCTCAAGACTTTTTCCTAAATAAATCATTGCTATTACTGCTATTTTACTTGAAAATAGATCAACTCCGATGACATGATGTTTCATTAGGTGTATTCCCTCTGACTAAAATTGAATTTATAGTGAAAATATCTTGGGCTGAAGTCTTTCCAGTATTTACACCATAAGGTGGGGGTTGCTCTGGTTTGGTTTCAAGATGTTGTAGGATAACAAAGACCAGAATCTTTTTAGGATTAAATTTGAAATTAATCAGATTTCTATACAGTATATATGGCATTCCATACATGCTATAGTGGCACGTGAAGTTAGGCATCTGGACTAAGTTAATCAGCTACACTTTGTCTACCATCAGCAGAGAGATATTAGTATCACCAGGACAAATTGCCAGGAGAAAGCATGTCTTTATTGCAGCACCAGCTCTTGGGCTTTCTGAAGGAGGATGCAAGAACTCATACAAACCTGATACCACCAGGAAGCCTTCAAACAACATTAAGAAGATTGGTGTTCATGAGACTCATAAGATATATAAATATGTATATAAGTATTTACATATATAAATAAATAAAATTACTTGGGATGTATGTATGTAAATATACAGAAATAAAAATAAAGTTATTTGAAACAAAATAGCCCCCACAATCTCTCAAAATTTCTTTAGACCTGGTAGAGTGACAAAGTCAGTTTCATGTTCCACTGTTGAACACTTTTAACGAAGATAACTAACTAAATATTTTAGTTGTGTTGAAAACTTCATCTTCAGACTGATATGAGTACATTTCTTTGAATAAATACCTTCACTTTTCTCACTACTGGTTTTCATATGGTTTACATTACTATGAATTCATTTCAGAGGCAATAAGTAAAACTAGTCCTAAATAATTTTTCACAATTCTCACACAATACGAAGGAAAAAGTTACTAATGAATGTCAGGATTTAAAGTATTATCTACATTCCTTAAATCTTCATAAATCTGCCTAAAAGCATTTCTGTGTTTTGGTGATAGGCAAAGATACAAAAATCTGAAAAGCAGCTTATTTCATTCCCTACTGAGTCTGTTTCCATTGTTGGTGCAGTTCATATAATATTTTATTTTTATTTACCTTCCACAGGTCACCCGCTAGGTTCAGATCATATTTATTCACTAAGACATTTACTGAAACATTCACTTTTCACTAATCTGTTTAATTTATCCACTGGCACGTAGTTCATACTCAGGATAACCACACTGACACACTAGGCAATTTAGTCAGTAGGAACTTTAGTTTTATGTGGAAATGCGGCTTATTTAATATATTTATTTCTGTAGGTGATGAATTCCATCCAAGAAATAATACATGAGAGTAAATAGAAGATAAATAGAGTTGAGAAAGCAATGTATCACAACAGCCTGATGATATTTCACCTGCTGAGCTGCACTGCTGCTGCTTCATTCAATAGGTATATCTTTCTCAATGAGTAATACACTGCTTTCAAGAAGCAATTTATTCATTTCAGTGCAAACCATTTAGACTCCAGCTTACAGAGCTTTTAGAGGTTATATTCATTTCCATGTAACTCCTTAAGTCAGCAGTCCAAACCAAGGTTATGTCAGTATTTCTGAATTTCAGAGGCATGATTCTTCCTGACACCGGCACAAAGAAAGATCAAAGCATTTTGCTGAAATTCTTGGTTTCTCGGACACTTGGTTTTGTCCAGATGCACACATAGGATCAATTCATCAAAGTTACTACCTAAAGCAAAAGAAAAAATAAGGAGATATATAAGACATTCATATTTTAATAGTAAATATATACAAAGGAAAAGGTGCCTTGGATTACTTGGCATTTGATTTATATTCCTCAATTCCACATGTAATTATTTTGGTACAATGCAGCAGCTACTTGCTGGAAGACCTGCAAAGAAGTCTTTCCTATATGGAGACTGTTCCTGCAGCAGCAGGCATTAGTGTGAAATTTATCTTACCTGACATTAATCTCTAAAAGCTCATTGCCTAGCCTAAATTAGTTGTTAGCTTTTCTGCCATCAGTACAAAGAAATTAGGTGGGGTAAATCTCAGTTTGGACAATGATGTATGCGACACCTGCTTTAAGAAG